GTGACACGGAGGAGACAAATTGTTGAATAAAGTCTCTTTTTTTTTTCTTTTGCGCCAAAAAGTATTCTTGTAGCTTCAATAATATTATGGTTGAACCCCTGATGTCACATGGAGTATTTTACCGATCTCCTTGCTACGTTTCTGGACGTTGATCGTGTAAGGACCCTCTGTCTATGGGAGGGAGAGCTGTCAGAATGCATAAAAAATATCTTAATTTGTGTTCCGAAGATGAACGGAGGTCTTACGGGTTTGGAACGACATGAGGGTGAGTAATTAATGACAGAATTTTCATTTTTGGGTGAACTATCCCTTTAAACCGCGTAAACACATTGCATTACACCAAATACACAAAATAATGTTCTTTTTAGCAACATATCATATGGTCCCTTTAACCGTGTAGCATACATGTTATAAATAAATAAATACTGGGAAACTTTTTAAACTTGTACGGCAGTTTTATCAACACATGGTTGATCAAACCATGGTTTAATACATTTGAATAAAACCTTTTAAGTCACGAGGTTAAACTTAATTTCAGCATCATTCGCATCTATGTAATTAACAGAACTGGAACACATGAAATTACGATTAGCATCCTAATAAATCGTCGAAACGGTGTGCCTAAAATACGCGCCCTGCTGTCGTTTGTTGTTGTTTTGAAAGAAATCGTTCAGAAGATCCGGTTAGCGGAACTCCAGCCTCCTGTAACAGGTTTACATTCGCTTTCTCTACATCACTTCCGCGTAACGTTACTTCTCGCTTTATTAGCCAGACTGTCACATACAGGCGGGAGATTCGGAAATAGCTCTTTCTGTTTGAGTACTCCTCGTGTCAAGTACAGAAATATACAAATTATTCCAGACATCTCGGCCGTTGACAGGTAGGCTATGCAAAAGTCAAATATGCAACTGTTGTGTTTAACGCCAGCAAAACGTTTGTACTTAACATTTCTGATCTATTCAGTTGGGCACAAGTGTGAGACATTGCTTTATAATTATGTATTTGACACAGAACTGTATCTGTTGCATTATATTAATCCGCATGCTGTTGTAAAGTCGCTGAAATGCTTTCATGTCGCATTATAGATCGAATGAATGGAGCCGTTGAACTTTCTAACGACTGAAGAGTTGCTGTTTTTTCTCCACCGGAAAAAGACGGAGATTTCGTGCATCGAGCAACCGCACAGATTCCTCAGTCAGCTGCGAGACCACGATCTGGTGCCGGAGAAACTTTTTGAGGTGGAAACACAACCACCTTACACTCTCTCTCTCTCTCTCTCTCTCATTCAATTCATTTCATTCTTTATTAGCATGACATTTGTTACAATGTATTGCCAAAGCATAGTGTTTGCATTGAATATTATATATATTTATTTTTATTATTATTTTTTTTTTTTTATGCAATTTATTTCTGTGATGGTAAAGCTGAATTTTCAGCATCATTACTCCAGTCTTCAGTGTCACAGGATCCTTCAGAAATCATTCGGATATGCTGCTTTGCTGCTCAAGAAACATTTATTTTTATTATCAATGTTGAAAACAGTTGTGCTGTTTAATATTTTTGTGGAAACAGTGATACCATTTTTCATTTTTTGATGAATAGAAAGTAAAAAAAAAAAATCTTACCGATCTTACTATCATGGTATTACCATGCCATCACTTTACCATGGTACCTCCACTATACTTTAAAAAAAAGTTGTGTGTCAAAGTTTGTCAGTTCGTTGTTTTGCATATTTAGACATAAGACGTCTGATCATACTGTACTTCCATCTTCCTTTATGTCTTCCTCTCTGTTTTTGTCTGTAGAATGTGAAAAAGATGCGTTCTCGTGAGCAGAAGGAGAAGGGCGTCTATGAGGTTCTGGACTGGGTGGAGAAAAATAAACCACAGTACATACATCAGTTCTGGCGCTGGCAGAGGAGGAAGAGAGTGAAGGAAAGGCAGAGACAGGGAAGGAGAGGAACTACAAAAGAAAGAGAATTAAAGATGATAGAAGTAGTGAGGATAGTCATGATCTTGATCCTTCCTCTGCTTCCACACCCAGACGGAAGAAACCAGGCAAAAAACCCTCATTCTGTGAGTCCCTGAACTACAGCAGATCTAAGATCTCATCAGGCATACAGTTAAATAACACTAAAACCGTAAGAACAGTTTTTTTTTACTCACAATAAATTAAACCTTAACTAAAATAATATAAAATATAAAAAACATTTTATTTCAGATAGCTGCAGAGGAAACATTTCTTATTTTAGTTTAGTTCTACTTGATGTACTAAAATAACTGAAACTGAAATAAAATTTAAAGGAACGTTTGGCCAAAATTTTCTGAAAATTTACTCACATTTAGGCCATCCAGGATGTAGATTAGTTTGTTTCTTCATCAGAACAGATTTGGAGAAATTTAGCATTACATAATTTGCTCACCAATGGATCCTCTACAATAAATGGGTGCCGTCAGATTGAAAGTCCAAACTGCTGATCAACGCTTGATCTGTGCATATTTTTCTCCTGATTTAGATGAGATGACTTTTCACTGGAGAAAGCAATATTGTGGATAGAGGACTTTTAGCTGGAAGTAACATTTTGAAGATAAAAACGTCTTAATCATGGATTTGGTTCTTAAAAAAACACAGCTTTTCACTTCACAGGACATTAATTGATAGACTGGAGTCATGTGGATTATTGTTATGTTTTTATTCCTTTAATAAAACTATATAAAAAATGAAACTAACAAAATTACAAAAATTTTTACTAAAATTAAAATAAAAAAAATGAATTAAAAATATTAATAAAACAATAATAGTATCTCAATGATACTAAAATAACACTGTGTTTCCTGGTGCCTGATGTCCTATACCTGTATTTTCACTCTCTCCTGATCTGTGTTGTCTTCTCTCTCTTTCTCAGCATCTCTTGTGAAGAAAGGAGAAAAGCAGGAGATTTGGAAGTGGCCTATTTATAAAACTCATCTGCCTGTAACCTGTGGGGATAAAGAAGGCACTCTCTATCGGGACAAAATGCCCAGAGGTTCACCATCATTGAGTTTTTGCTATAATTTCTCTTAATTTTATTAGAGTGTGTGTTTATAATATTTGCTGAATGCATCCTATCCTTGTCTCCTGTAGGGGAAAAGTGTATTTTGTCTCAAGGACGCTGGTTCACCCCAAATGATTTTGAAAAGTTTGCGGGGAAGGAAAAGTACAAAAACTGGAAACTCAGCATCCGCTGCAGAAACACACCACTTAAGAAACTCATAGAGGTAAATAATTATATATGTGTGTGTGTGTGTGTATACATATACAGGTGCATCTCAATAAATTAGAATGTCGTGGAAAAGTTAATTTATTTCAGTAATTCATACATATATAGTATATATACACTTTAAGATATAAATAATTATTGGTTGTTGTATTTATTGGCTAATATTTAATTTTTAGTGCCCTAATGTACAATATATATATATGTATATAAGTCCAATCTGCATGCACAAATTAACATTTTAGTGGCATTTTTATTTGATTACTTAATCGGTACACCCACCACTGTTTTGAAAGAAAACTGCACCTTTTTCTGTTTAAAAAAATAGTTGATTGTAAACCTCTAGCAACTTATAGCCTATAGCAGGAATGTGCTTCTAATACAAAGCATCAGAAGTACAGCCCATATTTTTTTATCGACCCTTTAATTTTACAACGTATGAGATAAATTTGTAGTTACATTAAATACAGCAGACCTATTCATATATATGTGTGATCACTTCCTTTCTCATTTTTTCAGGAGGAGCATCTTCAGTGTCCACCGATGGAGATAAGAAAGAGAACATGTGTCCAAAAAGTACTTTGTCTCTCTATGTGCAATGTCAGGTTTTGCTTTTCCTCTGTTTTTCATTTGAGATTCATTAGTGACCTTTGTTTATTCCTGCAGAACATGAATGAGCTGGTTCCTGTCAGCTCATCTGAGAGCTCCAGTGAAGGTGAGTAACGATCATCCAGGCTCATTCACATGCTCTCTGCTATCTGTCTGAACGCAGCAATGTGTTTTATTCCTCAAGAAAATGATGCTGAAGATTTCCAGGAACAGGGATGGAGAGGAGGAGGAACAGAGATCAGAGGGAGAGTTGAGGAAGAGGAGGAAGAAGAAGACATGGCAGATCTGTCTGTTTTCCAGGCTCCTTCTTTACCAGTCACCTGTGTCTCACTTACTGGGACTTTATACAAATACAGGTTTGCAACAGGTATGTTATTGCACTGATTTGTGTGCAGAACTTAGTATGCAGTTTGTTTTGGCTGTGTTGAAGGTTTGAGTGAAAAATGTTCACGTTTATGTTCTGTTGCAGGGATACGAGGGAAGTGTATACGTACTGAGGAAAGATGGTTCACTCCGGAGGAATTTGTAAAGCAGGAACTGACTATCACTGATGGACACTGGAAGAAAGATATACTGTGCCATGGAAAAACGCTTAACTTTTTACTCAAGGTAGGTGAGAACATACTATGTTGAAAAAAAGAAAAATCATATTTATTTATTTAATTATTTGTTTGTTTATTGTCATTTTTAGAAAGAAATCCTGCTCAAACATTTACTTCTGTTTGAATGTCAGAAATGCAGCATTAAAAAGGAAGACCTGGTAAGAAACATGTCTACATTATATGTTTAATCATGTTTAATCAAGTCATTATAAAAATAATTAATGATATTAACTTTAACTGATACTAACTTTCTTAGTTATTAACAGCCTCTTATTAGTGTACATATCATTAGTTGTATATACAGTATCTCACAGACGTGAGTACACCCCTCACATTTTTGTAAATATTTTATTATATCTTTTCATGTGAGTAATTTGTTACTGAGTGAAGTAACAAGTAACTTGGTTCTAGTAATCCATGACCTTAGTCTGCTTGTCTTCAGCAAACTGTTTGCGGGCTTTCTTGTGCATCATCTTTAGAAGAGGCTTCCTTCTGGGACGACCAGTTTGATGCAGTGTGCAGCGTATGGTCTGAGCACTGACAGGCTGACCCCCCACCCCTTCAACCTCAGTA